GTTAGATAACTAAGGTCTACTTTAGGTATAACTAAGGATTAAGGAAGGGAACTAATCCTGATCCTCTCCACTTCCACACATGACCGACAATCAGGAGGTCCGGGTTCAAGTCCCGGCCGTTCCCTGGCTTTCTTTCGGCCTCTCATACCTTCCGTTGTCCCGTCACTTCTACACCCCCCCTGAACAGTATTTCATTTAGTGTTCAAATTCCGTTTCCATCATTTCATAGCATTTTTTTCGTTTCATTTTCTTTGTTCGCGTTTTTCTTGAGTATATCTCTCCTGATGATTGATAACACCTTTTTGCATTCGGAGATATTTGAAGGACAGGTCATGTGAACTCCGAACCCCCTCAAACTTTAGGGCTGATTGCGCCACTGGCACAAAGGGATTGCCATTGTCCTATGTATCTACAAACGGATAAATACAGTGGTTAAGACGGTCCAGTAAATCCAGCGTCCAGAAAGGGTTTGACTGACGCAGAGCGGACCCACTACGTCTGTGAAATTATTCACTAACACTATTCCAGCGCATTTTGTCAGCATCCCCTTTCCCCCAGATCATAACTTCCACACTGCACACATGCCCACTTCTCAAGGGCTTGTGCGTTCTGAAATGGGAATGCACGTGAACCCTTTCTCATCCTCTCCCAGGCCTGAATCTCCTGTTCTCTTCTGTCACGTTGAGGAAATGCAACAATCCACCCCACTGCCACCAGTGTCTGTGACACACTTATGCGACATCTGCACGACTCGTGATAGAGATTCTGCCCTCGTCCCTTGCGGCCCCACGATGTGCTCTATGTATGCTTCAGTCATAGTTGCACAAGACAGTAAATGTCCACAATGTAGACAAGTAATTGTTTTTTTTTCCATAATTTTTTCTTAAGGAATCAGACCGTTCTCTCTCTCTCTCTCAATCAAACAATTAATTGAACTGTTTCCATGCTTTCATGACTATTCCATTGTGCCCCCCTCCCACAAAAAATTCTCAATTTTGAATTTTGTGCAATCGACTGAGCATTTGCCAAATCTTTTCCCACATTCTGCATATGATAGAATGAAGCATCGCTAGTCACCTAGCCCACATATATTTTGTCCACAACATGCGCGACATCGACGTGATGCTATCGCCACCACCACCTTCAACTAAGCTAGTTTGTCGGTGTTATTCTATGTCGGCGTAGTTCCTGTCTTGAATATTTATTTTCGATGCAAATCCAGGTAAGCTCCTGTCGAAGTAACTCCGTGTAGGTGTACTTCTGTCGGTTTTATTCCAAGTAGCAATTTTGTCGAGATAATTCCGTTCGATGTAGCTCCGTGTCGATGCACTTATTGTCTAGCTTATTCCGTGTCGATGTTATTCTGTGCCGGCGGTATTCCGTTTCGGCACTATTCTTTTCGGCGTTATTCCTACCCACCTTTCGAGTTACCCTAATCAATTTCAGGCGTCAAGTATACGCGCGAGGTCTACGAGGGTATGCTTCTCTGGGCCATAGGTGGAAAAAAAGCAGTAAAAGGGATAGTCTTTAAATTTAAACTGCGACGTTTGTAGCGGCCGCTTGTCACTGCTTTTGGAAAATTCTTTTGCGCCCTGTAACTGAATGTGGATAATGTGTATGAAAAGCCTAAGGCCAACTCGATTAAGGAATACAAGCATTTAGATTACATTTATTTGACAGAAATTCCATGAAACTCTTTTAAAAAAATGCCAGCATTGGTTGATAAAATACCACACATGCATAACAGTGTTGAGCAACGCGCCACTAAAAGGAGTTGGAAGATTCCTGAACACAATAACAATCTTTGGTTTATCAAAGATATAGAAACGTAATTACAACTTCATAGGCGAAAGGAATCACTAGAGGCACGACATTCTGCGATTGAGTATATTCAAGCGTCACAGCGAAAGAGTTAAGCAGCTAAATAATTTAGATGTGATCCGACGCGCCCGCAGAACGGAAGCGGCGAGGCAGCGTAGGCCTACACTGTTCGGTGGGAAATGTAAGAATATTAATGCCGAGAAGAGATCTGAATGGAGGCAACCTGCAGCTGCATTAACTGCAGAGCAACGACAGGCTGTTGACGCTACGCGGAGAGCAGCGCGTGTACGCGTCGAAACACCATGCAATACTCGAGCTGCAGTGACCGGGACGCACAAAGTTATCCCATCCTCTCTCTTTTGAGCGCTGCCAGTCCGTTCAATTAGAAGCGGAGAAAAGCAAACTTCGGCAAAGGTGTTCCATACGAACCCATTGAAGTATCCGCCCGAACTCAAAACACCATTGATGCGGGAAGATGCAATGGCTCGCAATTTTCACGAGTTTATCAGGTCGTACAACAGCGCAAACGCGTTTGCTTCCTTCGATGAAACGAATGTTGACATCCCCGGTAACAGCCCATAATGCTTCTCAACATTTTAGTAGGTTTATCACCTGCCTACGATGAATCTACAACTTTTTTCATTACAGTATGTCGCACCTCCGCTAAATCTGAATCAGCAACCTGCGTGTGCTTAATTTTACGTTTACGATGCGGACGAAGCGGTTGAAATGCAGCGGCGCATGAAAATCCGTAACGGGAAGTACATCGCTGTTTCTTCTTCGATGGACCAGGAGATACTGGTAAAAATAAGGACATGTGGTGCGAGTGAGTGTAACTCACCTTATTTTAACTTACAAATACCCGCAACGCACCTGACAATAACGACGATAAGACGTCGGGCCATCATACTACACAGTGTGCCGGAAGCTGAACTCATTGGACCTGCTTACGTTTAAAACGTGTCGTTTATCGCGGAAAATGCAGTTTGTGATTCGAACTGCCGACGTCATCGTATGAGATTAAACGCCGATGGCGCCTGCTGAAGCGCTGGTAACGATCAAACGGCCATTGTGAGACTCGATTGACGATGACTGTCCATTCGGTGGTAGAGTAGTCGTACTTGGTGGTGACTTTCGTCGTGTTGCCATTCGTCTACAAGGCACCTCGTGATCAAATCGTTAAGAATTGCTTTGAAATGAGCCCTCTGTGGTCATCGGTTCGAACGATTCGTTCGTGAACGAGCTATTTGGATAACGGCATAGGATATGTGAAGTCGAAGCGAGCAGCAAGTGCGCCTGTCTGTGTCCCAAGAATGAGCAGTCCCCTGTGATCCATGAAGACGTATTGTCTCGATTGGAAGGGGAAATGCGAACTCATCACAGTTTTGACACTGAAGAACGATCACAGTGATAACGATGCCGATCGGCAGGTTAACTTTTGAATTGAATCTTCAACACTCTCAATCCACCGGGCCTCCTTCCGCACGCCTTAACTCTTAAAATTGTTGGCGAGTTCGCTCTGAGGATTCGCTGAAGATTCCGGTTATCAATGGACCGAAGCAAGGTAAAACTGATGGTGTCATGGCACCATTAAAAAACTGAAAAAAGTTTATTACTGCAGATGTTTTTCTGTTCCAGGTGACTGCAGTTGATTTTACTAGCCCCAAAACCCGAAAATGACGATGCCACAGGAAACGGCGCAATGCGTAGCATAGTTCATTGAAACAAAATCGCGATTTGCGAACTCATGCATGACCGTGTCGTGGGACCCTTTTTCTTTGACGAACCAACCATTAGCAAAAACAATTACCTACAGATGTTGCAGAATCATGTTGTTCCCCCGGGTGGCTAACCTGCAGCCACGAGTGATTTTCCAGCAAGACGGTGCTCCCGCATATTGGGGAAGGGAGGTTCGAGATTACCTGGACGCGACGTTTCCAGGTCGCAGGATCGGCAGGGCGGTCCGATCCCATGGGCTTCCGGGTCTCTTGACGTAACCCCACTACACTTATTCTTGTGGGGATATATCAAGGACATTGTGTGCTACAGGAAGGTGAACACAGTGCAGGAGCTGCAGCAGATCTTTGATGCCGTTGCAACTGTCGACGCAAGCATGTTCGAGAGAAGCTGGCAAGAGCGAGATCGTCTTGATATTCTCCGGGCAACAGAGGGAGCTCACATCGAAGTGGAATGGCAATGAGTGATCAGAAACTTTCTGAGATGCTCTTTTCAATAAGGCAAACCCCATCAAAATATGTATTTTCATTCAGTATTCATAGTGATTCAAAGTTCCAAAGGTTTCATGTGATCATCCTGTATGTTCCATCGTGAACTGCAGCATTTTGGCAGCGAGAATCTGGCTAAGATTGTTTTTAGTTAATGAGCTGTGCCAAAAAAGTATAGGTCCTAGAGCAGAAGGCCGCTAGTTGTCAAGAAAGTTAATGCCAATCACAACTCTTCTGTATTTCCTTGAAAAGTATGTTTTGCCCAACGCACAGGTTACACCAAACAGCTCAGGAGAAGCTAACGAATCGTTCGATACCATACGAGTCGTGTTTTTTTCATGCACATTTTCCCAGTCAATTTCTGACACTATTCCAAAACTTTCAGTGAGGTGAGTTGCATATGTTTCATGCTTGTGTCGTTCCATGATTGCCGCTTACTCTCCAAGTGCCATTATGATTCTAGTTGCAAGAACCACCTTAGAAGGGAGAGGAATGCTTTTTTGCCTTGGTCAGGCTTCTGAAGATTTTACGAACCAATCCACCCATATTGGGGGGGGGGGGGGGGGGTCTTGCTAACATGAATTCTGATTGTCAAGTTTCGCATGATGCGATACAATGATCACGAGCTATGAAATGCCGAAATAAAGATAAAAGATGCCAAACATTTTCACTAAGTCTAGTGAACGACAACCCCTCCATGCTAATAGTCTGTCCAGAACGCCGGTTTTTCTGTGTAGCGCTAATTCCTACCTTCCTTCAAGAAAGAATTAGTCTTAAAATTGAAGACATTTCAAGCTACTTCAGGTTGAAAAATATAAGTGATCACTGTCAATGAGTCTATTATGTTCGCGAAAAAATACGTATCCTGGACATCGCCCTGACTTTGGTCGCAAATATTGACAATCACATCACATTCTCATATAGTTTGGACAGAACGAAATATCGGGAACTCACTGCATATCCCAGCGTCTTCCACAAATCCTTCTTTGCACTGGCAAAATGGGAATGGTCCGTTAACTGGACATTCCGCGTTCGGATCCAGACAAGCCAATTCTTCGAGAGATGGATCACATTCTTCGCCGAGTTCTCCTTGCCGTTCTGAAATAATGCCTGCGAGCATGAGTGTAGGTCGTTATCTTCGCAGTCAACAACAATAAGACAATTTGAATTACGGTGTTGCACTCGAGCCAATGTGCCAGGAAGAGCGCGTCAGTGCAGCGCCATGAACATGTTGACAATGGGAAAATCACTTCAGCTTTCTTTAATGTGCGGCACATGTAATTCAATAATTATGCAAAATCTGACGAGGCTGTTCCTGAAGCAAGTCACAGTATCCACGCCTAAAGGAAGTCTCATTTTAAAGGAGTTTGGTCAAAACCTACAATGATGGAAGAGGGAAGAACTGAACCTTTTGGACACCGCGCGGCCACATTGGGGACCACGGGGTGATGTGCTATTCAATTCCTCGTTGAAGAGGGTGGCGTTCAAAATGTTAACCAGGTGAACCAGGACCTCTCCTCTAAGCGGAGGAGGAGATGCAATTTCACGGTGCGACCTAACTCCAATAAAACCTCCCCACATTCCCACTCGGGAACAATAAGATCATCGGAAGATTTCGACGAGGCCAATGAAGGTTTACAGCATAGAGTTTAAAAAAATACCAGATTCGGGAAATTATTTATCGTATCCTATAGAAGAAAATAATTGGGAGGGAAAGTCTTGAGATAAATAACATCCAGAATCTTTTTTTTTTAATCTAGGTTGATATGCCGCTAACTACTCTGTAGGATAATAATAGTATTTCCTTCAATGAACCCTGCTGTGGTGAATGGCTGTGATAATACATTTCAAGGGCGTGCCATGTATTATTGTCATGAGCGGTCACCGTCATGGTGATCTAAACTACTACCTATTAAGCTCTTGATCAATGCTTTGCGATTCCGATACTCTGATATGATATTGGTGCCTGTTTTATAATATGCTTTTGGAAGGATTGAATTATTTCTCAAAACAGGTTATTCCTCTAAAAGCTTAGATTCACAGGAAGTAAGTTTTATCTATACCACGTACGCACTTAAAGGGGGACAATTTTAAGTCGTAATCCTATGGGCTTCTTTTATTTAACTTTGACATCCGCCACTGTTACCTAGTCTTTCTGCATGTTATTTCGCATACATATATCTTTCTTGGACATCACTGCTTAGCCTTAGTGAAAACGTCCTAGAAGTGTAGGCCGCCAAGTACTAAAATGAAAGGTCTCATTATACCATGACTTCAACAATTATCTGATACAGGATATTCAAATCGATAAAAAAAAAAAGTTTGGAGCAACTGCAACGCCCTACCAAAGTGGACGCACCTGGGTACAACAACTAGAGTACCAGCCCAAGTACAGATTCATCATAAAATTCTCCTTTACACATTTGGAATTATCTTTATTCGCCACATTCTAACAACCTTACATTGGAAGCAAACTCTATCATTGCCTATGTGAATAGTACCGGAAACTAGATATTTGTCTCAATGATTCACGCATCAGCGTTGCGTTGGAGAATGGAGAGGAGCATGAAGTGTAGGATGTCAGATGCGGCACTTCATAGTACGCCCAGCAACCCTGTCTATGCTGCCACTCGCTCTCACTGTCTACCGGGTGTTGCACATAGATAATCCCCCCCCCCCTCCACGGCCTAAACTATAAGAGCTAAGAATAAAACTCGTATTTCATGAGAAAGAGCATTCATTTTCGAATCTAAACATGTACCGATCATAATTTGTATGCGCCCTGATTCTGAAGAAGCTTTAATACGAGCGAGGTATGATGAAAAGAAGCGCTTAAAGAGTTGAGTGTCATCTTCCATGTCCTTCAACACCCTCGTGATGTCGCTTTGCAAGGCTTCCCGGGAGAATCCATGCTGCTTGCCCCCCATGAGCATAAGCCTCAACTCGGTCTATCAGGTTAACCTCATGTTCTTAGCTGCATTCAGATCAGGATTGTTTCCTGGCCATTCCGCATTTCTAAAAAGAAGCAATCCCTGAGCTTTAAGCAATTGTCGTGTGACGAAAGCTTTGAAAAATAGGGCTTCATCCGACAGAAGCTGAACGTTTAATCTTTTTCGAAACCCACGAACGGGTAGCGAATTCAGTTCTGGCATCATGAACTCGAAATGTAAAAGCACGGGTGCGATCAAGGAATTTAAGTTTTTCACCATCATATGACGTCAGGAAAAAGCAAAATTGGATGGAATGGATTCAAAATTGAACAAGGTTTCCATATATATTTAAAGGGTTTTCCTAGCTTCTATAGTTTAGGTTGTGGAGTGGGGGGCCTATCTGTGCGCAACACCTGGTAGTTTGAATCCGTCATCCGTGAGGGCTGGAAGGGAAGTGCACTCATGGAGCGTTTGAGGGGCAAGTGGAGCGTATTATGTTCACCTAACTCAATTCCGGTTAACTCGTCGCGAGTTCTCCCATCTCAGACATTCTCTACCGTGCCCATTTTGCAACAGATGCGGCTAAACGCTCTTTTCCGGAGTACCACAAGTCAACCGAAACGATTCAGTCAAGTAGGGAATCCTAGCACCAGTGGTGAATACAGAAATGTTTCATAACGGGGCAGGAAAACAGAATGCCCTGCATGACGGAATGAATTGATATGATATAACGATGTGCTTCAGCAGACACCTGTGGTATCACTTCAGGACGAGAGGACCTCTCGCGACTAATGCATCTGTTGTATGGCATGGAAAAGAGAACGAGCCCAACAGAAATTTTTTCGTCGATGAGCGCAACTCTCCGCACAGATCTTCCCTTATTACAGGTAAACCGTGAGAGAGCAAAGTGACATCCAATCTCGTACATATAAGGAGGAGCATGCAGTCAGCTAAATCGAAATGGCTCGTGCATGCGATACAATCTAAGACACCCGAAAGAATATCCACTGAGGTCGCATTAAATAAGCTCTTCATAAATTGGAGGACGAGTTCACCAGACGGACGGATTTCCTTTTCATCGACGCAGTGACAAGGTTATATTGTCGAGGCATGCCAAGGGGAGGGATCGCACATTTCTCGGTGGTGGATTATCCAAGAAATTTTCATTTGATTAACTAATAATAACAATTAGTCCATGATACTTTTTGAAGATGTTAGCGAAAAAAAGCAGGCAAACGCTTCCATAAAACATTTAATCATTAGTCACCAATATACAGGTATAATTGAAATAGGTTGGTATTCCTGGAGGTCCCTTCCCTGCTTTGGCTCGTTTCTTTTCAATTTATCTCATAAAACGGGATGAGAGAATCAAATTTTCAATGAAATGCACAATCGTCTCTGTAAATCTTTAATTTTTTCAATCCCACAGAAGCTCGCCTTTTCTCCTGATATACTCCTACGAAGAAAAAGTGAAATGCAACTCACTGCACGTGTCCGCATCTTCCACGTATCCTTCTAGGCACTGACACGTTTCTGAGCCTGGTTCACCCAAACAATCCGAGTTTTCTACCGTGCAGTTTACAGATCCCGGAATGCAATGATCCCCGAGACCAAGTCTTCCTTCCTCTAGAAATTAATCATACTTCCACGTAACTCAATTTCCCATATTATGGTTTCAGTATTATCTGTAAGCGAGCAGAGTTCAATACTGTATTTAAATTATATTGTTTTCAGAGCAGACTGAGAGTTGCATGCGAGGTGCATACCGGAAGTCCGTGCCGCAAGCCTAGAGCTGCTGTGTCCGTAACTACGAGTATTTCAAAACGTAAATTTCCTGTTGAAGTCGTCCATTTGAACCTATACCTAGGAAACCGCATAATGCGCGCAAAAACGGATCAATTTCATCAAGAATGCGCGCTTTAGTTGGAGCGAAGTCGCTAGTGGAATCCAATACAACACGGTGAGTATGCTCTCTGTGTGCACCAAGGAAGAGAAGCCGTATGTCGTCTGGTTTGCGGGAAAAATGTGTTAGACCAACAGATATTCAGAAACGAATGTTAGCTCAGAACGGTGAGGCATATCACAACGAAAAGTGCACGAGCGGATAAAAAGATTCCGAAGAAAAAAGACCGGCTGCTGTGCTTGGACGTCCAGTTCGACTGTCATCAACACTCGTTCGTGTTGGAAACCTTCGGACGAAGGGTGAAGGACAAAGGTCCTTTAGACCTAAGTCGTATGCTGTTTTGTTTTGAAGTGTCCATCTCTAGACTGGGTTAATTAATTAATTTCCCAATTGAGAATCACAGAGCTGAAGTGAAACTCCTTGAGGTAAGAGGAGAATATGAAACGTTGAATTTCATCTCCAGCTGAGTGAAGTTCAAGGGAAAAAGGCCGCGAGCATTTTCGGCGGGGGGGNTGTTCTTAGCCGCATTCAGATCAGGATTGTTTCCTGGCCATTCCGCATTTCTAAAAAGAAGCAATCCCTGAGCTTTAAGCAATTGTCGTGTGACGAAAGCTTTGAAAAATAGGGCTTCATCCGACAGAAGCTGAACGTTTAATCTTTTCGAAACCCACGAACGGGTAGCGAATTCAGTTCTGGCATCATGAACTCGAAATGTAAAAGCACGGGTGCGATCAAGGAATTTAAGTTTTTCACCATCATATGACGTCAGGAAAAAGCAAAATTGGATGGAATGGATTCAAAATTGAACAAGGTTTCCAAATATATTTAAAGGGTTTTCCTAGCTTCTATAGTTTAGGTTGTGGAGTGGGGGGCCCATCTATGTGCAACACCTGATAGTATGAATCCGTCATCCGTGAGGGCTGGAAGGGAAGTGCATCGAGCATTTGAGGGGCGGGACAAGTGGAGCGTATAATGTTCATCTAACTCAATTCCGGTTAACTCGTCGCGAGTTCTCCCATCTCAGACATTCTCTACCTTGTCCATTTTGCAACAGATGCGGCTAAACGCTCTTTTCCGGGGTACCACAAGTCAACCGAAACGATTCAGTCAAGTAGGGAATCCTAGCACCAGTAGTGAATGCAGAAATGTTTCATAAGGGGGGCAGGAAAACAGCATGCTCTGCATGACGGGATGTATTGATATGATATAACGATGTGCTTCAGCAGACACCTGTGGTATCACTTCAGGACGAGAGGACCTCTCGCGACTAATGCATCTGTTGTATGGCATGCAAAAGAGAATGAGCCCAATATACATTTTTTCGTCGATGAGCGCAACTCTCTGCACAGATCTTCCCTCATTGCAGGTAAACCGTGAGAAAGGAAAGTGACATCCAATCTCGTACATATAAGGAGGAGCATGCAGTCAGCTAAATCGAAATGGGTCGTGCATGCGATACAACCTAAGACACCCGAAAGAATATCCACCGAGGTCGCATTAAATAAGCTCTTCATAAATTGGAGGACGAGTTCACCAGACGGACGGATTTCCTTTTCATCGACGCAGTGACAAAGTTATATTGTCGAGGCATGCCAAGGGGAGGATTCGCACATTTCTCGGTGGTGGATTATCCAAGAAATTGTCATTTGATTAACTAATAATAAAAATTAGTCCATGATACTTTTTGAAGATGTTAGCAAAAAAAGCAGGCAAACGCTTCCATAAAACATTTAATCATTAGTCACCAATATACAGGTATAATTGAAATAGGTTGGTATTCCTGGAGGTCCCTTCCCTGCTTTGGCTCGTTTCTTTTCAATTTATCTCATAAAAAGGGATGAGAGAATCAAATTTTCAATTCAATCCACAATCGTCTCTGTAAATCTTTAATTTGTTCAATACCACAGAAGCTCGCCTTTTCTCCTGATATACTCCTACGAAGAAAAAGTGAAACGCAACTCACTGCACGTGTCCGCATCTTCCACGTATCCTTCTAGGCACTGACACGTTTCTGAGCCTGGTTCACCCAAACAATCCGAGTTTTCTACCGTGCAGTTTACAGATCCCGGAATGCAATGATCCCCGAGACCAAGTCTTCCTTCCTCTAGAAATTCATCATACTTCCACGTAACTCAATTTTCCATATTATGGTTTCAGTATTATCTGTAAGCGAGCAGAGTTCAATACTGTATTTAAATTATATTCGGTTTTCAGAGCAGACAGAGTTGCATGCGAGGTGCATACCGGAAGTCCGTGCCGCAAGCCTAGAGCTGCTGTCGTCCATTTGAACCTATACCTAGGAAACCGCATAATGCGCGCAAAAACGGATCAATTTCATCAAGAATGCGCGCTTTAGTTGGAGCGAAGTCGCTAGTGGCGCTAGTGGAATCCAATGCAACATGGTGAGTATGCTCTCTGTGTGCACCAAGGAAGAGAAGCCGTATGTCGTCTGGTTTGCGGGAAAAATGTGTTAGACCAACAGATATTCAGAAACGAATGTTAGCTCAGAACGGTGAGCATATCACAACGAAAAGTGCACGAGCGGATAAAAAGATTCCGAAGAAAAAAGACCGGCTGCTGTGCTTGGACGTCCAGTTCGACTGTCATCAACAATCATTCGTGTTGGAAACCTTCGGACGAAGGGTGAAGGACAAAGGTCCTTTAGACCTAAGTCGTATGTTGATTTGTTTTGAAGTGTCCATCTCTAGACTGGGTTAATTAATTAATTTCCCAATTGAGAACCACAGAGCTGAAGTGAAACTCCTTGAGGTAAGGGGAGAATATAAAACGTTGAATTTCATCTCCAGCTGAGTGAAGTTCAAGGGAAAAAGGCCGCGAGCATTTTCGGCGGGGGGGAATTCGCCAAAGTGGTAGCCCAATCTGGAAGGCCAAAACCCGCGACTGCTGATGATGACATGGGGCACGTGGAAAACCTCGGCAATTTAAGACAGGCATTTGACTTGAAATTGCCTGAAGGTTGGGACTGTCTCGTGGCACAATTGAGCGGATTTCGTTAGATGAACTGCATATGAGCAAAAGTCAGTGCTCGAAGCAGACAAAAATAAAGACGTTTGGACATTCCTCGTTCCGTGCCGACACGAAGTGCGGCAGGTTCAACAAATGTCATTAATCGTATCTTCGCAATGGATGAGGGCAAGAATCTCTTCTTCGATCCGGAGATGAAGAGACAGTCGAGAAAATGGAAGCTCTGTGAATTCCCGCCTCCAGAGGAAGGACCCTAGCCAAGTCCTATTAGATTTTTCCTAATCGCGTCCCACGACGAAATCGAAGCCAATCGACGGAGCACCTCAAGTAGTGCTAAAGTGACAATGGTCACACCGTGATTCAAGGTTACTCTGATCCGCTAGAGGGCGAAACAATTTGGCATATAGTTGGACCGATTTCGACATACGAGGTGTCCAGACCTACCAAATCAAACACGAGGAATTAAAGCTTTCATGATATTGAGTAAATCTCGTGAACTCCAATGGAAGGATGAATCGCACTCACGCGCATGGACCAGAAGGTTTACTAAGGCGCACAGCGCTGCAAACACTTTCATATTGGATAATGTCTTCACCTCAAAGTCAATTCCGTTATGATCACTTCCTTCCCGTTTCACCTACTCTGGCTTGCTGATATCTTCCCGCAAACACAGACGTCTCTCTTTTTGCGCATTATCTAGGAAAGCAAATGTATTTTCATGGAGCCGCAGGTGCATCGTTTCCAATGGGACTTTCGTGCCACGACATCCACGGATCTCAGCGGTAAAGATTGTTAAACGAAAAGCACGAGCTATCCAACACTTTTTCTTCCCAGCCGTTTCTCTTTAAATCCATTTTGTTTCCATAACTTTAGACTTTTCTCATATCGAATCTTGTTGGAATGGTTTTTGAGAAAAAAAAATTCTCTCGGGCAGTGATATTCAACAAGCAACTCGTGACTAGTCCCTCATTTCTCGGTTGCACCGAGTTAAGTTATTTTTCAGCGTCGGTTATTCAACATGCAGCCATCTGGTCCTAGATCATGAATCTCAGGTAAAATAGGAATGTTGCTTCATTCGTAACTATATGGCGCCATAAAGGAAACAGGCGCACGCAAAGTTCACGAACTGGTTCGAGTCAGATTCACCAAGCAAATAACAAAGTGAAGAACAAATAGGATCCCTGCTAGTTACTGCTCGAAGAATTGCTGCCGTCGGACACAACGACACGACCGGTATTTCGCAATCTTGAATTCTGAATCAACATGAAATATCCGGGTGTAACATTCTACCTGGGAACCGTGGCACATGGACATCCAGGAGACTATATACTCGTAATGTACTACATGCGAAGGAAAAACTCCGCAATCTCCCCTCTCTTTCCTCGTTCATTGCTCGAAATTCCATGAACCAATAACCGATTCATTTATTATTGGAAGGTCTCTTATTTCCCTTTGATTTAACATACTATTTAATATCGTATAATACATGACAACTCATGTGGGAGTTTCGATAGGGCGATCGAGGAAAGATGGAAGGGATCGTCCGGTCTGCTGCCTCTCCCACTGTTCGCTTTTTAATGGTGGAATGGAATAAGTAGCTATTACTCTATAGACAGAGGTATGCTGAAAGAGAGGTGAAAATGTGAACATAGACTTTTTCGGTTTAGTATAGGTTTTCCCGACGAATTTCCGCGTAAGTCCTTTCAAATTTGGCAGCGCTCCAGTCTCCTCTCCGTTTTCCCATTCAATTTGCGGCAGCGCAAGATAATGAGAGTGATAATATGTTGGAAAAGGAATCCGAGACCTTGAGTTCACGATCCAAATAGCTGAATGTGACTAGCCCCCCAAAATGAATGGAATCGACTCAATATAGTGAAAGTATCTTCATTTCGAATGCACTGCTTGAAACGTGCGAATCAAGCAATAAGGGTCAAGTGGGCTGGAAGAGCCGGCAGGTTCCACGAACTCTTTTCGCCACTGTCAACCACACGGCCTCAGCTTAAGTACATAGCTTTATTAAGAATATCGACATCCCGCCACATTCGCTTCAAGTCCTGTCATGAGGTGGAAACCTTAGTTAAAATATTTTCAAATGAAGTAAAAAAACAAATATATATTCATCTTGAGATGAACCCGGTGTACCACATAGATGGCCAGCCCTCCCCTCCACACCCTAAACTATAGAAACTAGGAAATTATTTAAAGTATATATTCCGAATCCTTGTTCAATTTTGAATCAATTCCATCCAATTTTGTTTTTTTCCTGTCATATGATGGTGAAAAACTTAAATTCAATGATCGCACCTGTGTGTGTGTTTCTAGTTCACGATGTCAGAGCTGAATTCGCTACCCGTTCATGGGTTTCGTAAAAGATTAAAAGTTCAGCTTCTGTTTGATGAAGCCCGATTTTTCAAAGTTTTGATAATTATTTATAATAATTTGATCATTTCTGAAAGGCTCAGGCATCGCTTTTTCTTTTTGGAAAGGCGGAATTGCCAGGAAACTCTCCTCATCTGAATGTGGCTGAGAATATAGAGGTTATCCTGATAGACCGAGTTGAGGCTCATGCTCATGGATGGCATGCAGCATGGAATTTTCCGGGAAGCCTTGCAAAGCGACATCACTAGGGTGTTGAAGAACGTGGAAGATGGCACCGAACTCTTTAAGCCCCTCTTTTCATCTTACCCCGCTGTGTTAAAGCTCTCAGCAACAGAGCCAGGGTGCATAACAATTATTTTAAGTACATGTTTAAATTCGAAAATGAATTCTCTTCTTCATGATACTATAGTTTTTTTTCTAGCTCACTCGTAGTTTAGGCTGTGGAGGTGGGGGCTATCTATGTTCAACACCCGGTACAGTTAGTTGCCCTTTTTTTCTCTTTCATATTGAAAGATATAACCCGTGGTTATATCTTTCACAAAATGTCAGGGTGATATAGATATTGGATTTCTGCTGCGTGCAGTGATCAAGGGAGCTCAATGGTAGCACCTGTTTCTTCAGGCTAAAATGTCTTCTTTTCACCTTGTTTCGTGCTTCTTATACTCTTGACTCTATTGTCATTAAATGCTATGAGATAGATTTTCGCAAGTAAATCAAACCAAATCTTCAGCGAATCCTTAGAGCGAACTCGCTAACAGGCAATGAGTCGATTATGTTCACGAAAGAACATCGCCCTGACTTCGGTCGCAAATATCGATAATGATTTCACACTCTTATGTAGTTGGGACAGAATGAAATATCGGAAACTCACTACATATCCCAGCGTTGTCCACGAATCCTTCTTTGCACTGGCAGATTGCGCTTCCTCCCATATCTAGACATTCCGCATTGACAAGTCAATTCTCCAAGAAATGGATCACATTCTTTGCCGAGTTCTCCTTGCCTTTCTGAAATAATAATGCCTGTAAGCATGAGTGTAGGTCGTTATCTTTGCAGTCCACAACAATAAGACAATTTGAATTACGGTGTTGTACTCGAGCCAATGTGCCGGGAGGAGCGCGTCAATGCAGCGCCATGAAAGTGTCGACAATGGAAAAATCATTTCAGCTTTCTTTAATGTTCGGAAAATGTAATTCAGTAATTCTGCAAAATCTGAGGAGGCCGTTCCTTAAGCAAGCCACAGTAGCTCCGCCTAAAGAAGTCTTATTTTAAAGGAGTTTGGTCCAAACCTACAATAAGAGGAGAGGAAAGAACTGTTCGTCGCCCTTCGGTCGCCGCGCGGCCACCTTGGGGACCGCAGGGCGATGTGCTGGAATTCCTCGTTTAGGAGCAGTGGCGTTTAAAATGTTAACCAGGTGAACCAGGACTTCGGAGGACGATGAATAAAATGGATCGTCACATTTCCACTCGGGAACAATGAGGTCATCGAAAGACTTCGACGAGGCCAACGAAGGTTTACAGCATAGAGTTTAAAAAAATACCAGACTCGGATTATTATTTATCGTATCCTATATAAGAAAATAATTGGGAGGGAAAGTCTTGAGATAAATAACATCCAGAATCTTTTTAAAAAATCTAGGTTGATTAGCCGCTAACTACTCTATAGGATAATACTAGTATTTCCTTCAATGAATCCTGCTGTGGTGAATGGCTGTGATAATACATTTCAAGGGCGTGCCATGTATTATTGTCATGAGCGGTCACCGTCATGGTGATCTCAACTACTACCTATTAAGCTCTTGATCAATGCTTTGCGATGCTGATACTCTGATATGATATTGGTGCCTGTTTTATAATATGCTTTTGGAAGGATTGAATTATTTCTCAATTCAGTTTTTTTTAAATTATTATTCAAGATAATGCAGTTCACACATCAATGAACGGAATAATAAAATGACTTCTCAAAACGTGTCTAACGGCACCATTTTAACCAAGATGCGTGGGGGGGGGGGGTTTCTGGAATAGGGGAAAGTATGGGAATTGGGCCGATAAAAGGACAAAATGGAAGGAAAGCTTTGTTTGATGTATAATTTTATATTTATAATTAATGGCGCATTTCTTTCAGGACAAAACCTCTTTATTTTGATTCTGACACGATCTTGAATGCATGACATCATGGTAGTTTGTTGTTCTAAGCTAGGAGAACATATCGACGATCTCTGTCGCAAAGCATGCACGACTTTCGTTTTTGAAAAATCCTTATCTCTGAAAGAGTCGCTCACACGGGACGAAGTTATGTGAATTCGCAGGTGTTGGCGAGCCAGGTCGGCAAGCGACGGGTGTCTCCTTCCGTTATGATTATGGCGTATCGGTGGATCAACCCATCTCCATTTCGCTGCTTCATTAATGTAAGATCGAACGAAATTAATGTCATTGATTTCGTCCTGCTCTGCTTCTGCAGGTTCGTAGCTGTCTGCGTGGGTAAGGAAAGTGATAATTGCCTTGTATGACTTCTTGTTGGAGGCCGTAATGGACTCGATGATAGATGGTCAAATTCGAAAAGCAACCGTGAAAGAGTAATGACCCCGTGATTGGTTTTCAAGGTCTTCCGTTTTTCTCTAAAGTACGTCAAGCGTTTGAAGTCTGACGTGCCGGGAACCAATTTTTTTCTCGGAACTGGGCTTCCACTTCGTCCCAGACAGGAGAAGTTGAAAAGAATGATGGAGTGGTCTTTTTAGCGGCAAGACTCGATTATCGCCACAATCAAATTGAGGTCGTTTGCGCGCGAGATATCGGTCGTATTCCCATAAACTGGAATTTTTCTTCATTTCAGGGCAGCTACTTTTTCATATTCCGGATGGGTATTGTATTCTTTGGGAGAATAAATTCTAAACTCATTTCGTATTACAGACTTTCCACGAGCGTGAGGTTTGAATTTCCAGTTCTTTTCCATCCACAAAAATTGGCCGTGGTTTCATCATACTGAATCCGAGTGCTGAGTACCATCATTTTGCCTCAAGGAAATTTTCCAGGGAAAGAAAGCATCGGGGAGGATTGCAGTCTTCAGATTATCCACTAATTCCCACCCTCATTTCATCAGTTTTTTCAGTTATTTTTAATGGCGCGGTCCGTGGGCTCTGTTTCCCCTCTCCCGCAATAATAGAGGAAAGAAAAAAAATTATTAGGGTAAATGCACCATTTTGTGGACATGTTAAGGAAATTTTCATCTCGAAAATTGCGTTACGGTCGTTGGGGTAACCGAGAAATCGCTCGACTGGTTTGA